CACACACACACACACACACACACACACACACACGCACACAAACACACGCACACACACACACGCACACACACACACACACACACACAACAGACGCCCACTGTCATATCAGCAGCGGCACCAGCTGATAATTGGAAATCCATTTACAGGAGGACACTTCACACAATGCCCTCAAGCTGCAGCATACTTCTGCTAGCGCTTAATCCAATCCTCTTTGCCAGATACAACAGTCCCACTAGATTGGATTAAGCGCCAGTAGATTGGATTAAGCGCCTGTATTTGGATATGTTCATGCAGAGATTCAGGCATTAAAACCAAGCCTCTCAGCTAGAGTGACCTCACCCCAGGAATGTTTCTCAACAATTCATGGGTGTACCATTCAGCCCATTATGGCTGAATAGGCTGAATAGTACCGAGGGCCACACCCCATCACTCAACAAACGTGAAAACGACTGCTATGGTAGCTGTACCTCTCCATGTTCTAGTGGGGCCTCACTACACGACTCGAGGCCCCACGACTCGCCAAACGGCGAAGTAACTCGAGAGGTGTCAGATGTTTTCGAGAGCCCATGCACCAATAGTTTTGGCCACTTCGCCACTCACCACTCTCGGAGTGGTGACTCGAAAATCTCGAAGGCACTAAAAACAGCAGTATTGTGGGGGTACCGGTACTGACGCCTCTTAAGAATGGACACATATTCAAGGTCGGCCACAAGCTCTCTCGAAAACGTGAGTGGTGCAGGCTGGGACTCTCAAAGATGTGAGCGGTGCAGGCAGGGACGCAGGACAGTTGCGAGAAGCACTCTCCAAACCACACGTCTGACACTTGGAGAGGGAGGTCCTTGTTTGTGACGGAGGGGAGGTTCTTTTTCGTGACGGATTTCAAGCCTGTGCGGTGACGCACAATCTCACAATTTAGTGGTTTCAAGAGTGGCATGGCAAGGCCAGGCTCCTTTAACTACTCTCAGCTCTCCAATTTTCAAGAGTGGGATTGCTCCACAAACTCGCCAAAAGTCAATGTTGGTGAGTGGTGGGGTGAGGCCCTTAATCTTAAACCACCAGTACCTTTGCCCACTTGAAAACAAAACAGTGCGGCCGTTGACACAAGTGCAGGCCCGCCGCAGAACTGGCTGGCAGCGGCAGGCAGTCACACTCGTGTGGAATCTTGGGCGTGTGGAATCATTTTTTCATGGCGCGCAGGGGAATTTCGGGCCCATGGCCGATGTATGGGCCAAGTACTGGCGGTTTAAATATAAATTGTCTACTTTAGCGAGTGGAGAGAGACCTTTCCCAAATGTAACCCTGGAAAAACATTTCTAGAGTTGTCAGAATTGGCCTTTCCAGAGACCCCTATCAGCTTTCCAGAGACCCCCATCAGCCTCTCTGGCGAGTAGGCCACAAGTTTCCACTATCGAGGTTCAAGAATATTTGAGAGCCCTTGAACTACTGTCGAACACTTTCGAGGTTCGAGAATATTTGAGCGAGACCCATAATCAGCATTTTAAACATTCGGTAGGCGCACAATCAGCATTACTGCAGCAAGCCCCTCATGGGCTACGGTAGGCGCTGACTTCTGTTCCACCTGGCCTCAACAGCACAACAGCGTCAGAAACTCACAAATAGGCAATACAAGACACGCTCAGGGCAATGCTACGTCGAGAACGGCCACGCCACGCCACGCCACACTCGAAGCCGTCGATAGATTTCAATAGTGGCCGCATGACCGCACATGCTCCTTTTGCCACATGCTCTCTAATCCCTGAAGAAAAAAGAAAGGGGAAAAAAAACGAAGAAAATTTTCAGAAGGGGTTCCACCCCTTTCAATCATACTGCACAGAATCTCCCCCGTCAGCAACCAAGAAAGGGGAAAGAAAACGAAGAATTTTTTCAGAAGGGGTTCCACCCCTTTCAATCATACTCCACAGAATCTCCCACGTCAGCAACCACAACGATTTCGAGAGACCGCTCGCTGTCGGCCTGTGTCAGGCTCGACCGAGCCTCCGTCATGCAATCAGACTCGTCTCCTTTCTTTCTCAGCATGCATGAAAACAGATGGCAGTCACCCTGGTGCCAGGCGCCACACAAAGCTCAGAGATATATCAAGGCCGAGATCACAGTTCAGATTCAACTTGCTTCAAATGGCTATGGCGCCTGTGCGCCTTCACTAACTAGAGGCTATGGCCACTTCATCTCCCTCACAGCACAGCCCACTTCTCCCTCGGGCACCTGCAGACCTTGCACAAGTCGCTTAGGCAGCGCTTCCACACGGCTCACAGTCTGAATGAATGAATAACTGGACGCTGCCTCTTGATTTATACTTCGCTTGGTCGCTGGTCTGCTCCTTTCCGTCGGGGCTAGGGTGCACACAGCCCCACATGGTACTTGCTGACTGGACAAAGTGCGGCTGGGACAGGGTAACCCTGACTAGACAGGGTTGGACTATCCACTTGGCCACTTGCCTCTAGCCTAACCTGAGTCATTCTGGAAAGGCCACTTCCGGAAGTCTGTAGACTTGGCCTTTCGGTACTGTACCAGCTACGACCTTGACCTTTCAGGACTGTAGCAGCTACGACCCCTACTCGACTGACCCACGAATCGAGACCTGATGACCACACAACCTACGACAGATAACAGGCGACTACTAAGACACAGGTCACGGGTTCAAACACACAGGGTCGACTTGGTACTGTACACGGGTGAGGGCCAGGTCTAGGGATCGACAGGCNGATCGACAGGCGACTACTAAGACACAGGTCACGGGTTCAAACACACAGGGTCGACTTGGTACTGTACACGGGTGAGGGCCAGGTCTAGGGATCGAGCCCTGCGGTCTGGGCGGCGGCGGGCCCGTTCCCGGGCTTGTAAATAAATAAAAGGGAAAGTTCATCTGCCCCTGTAATTTCCATTATTTTGCGCCGCGCCCCCCGGATGGCCGACTTACCCTGTCGTGCCCCTCTGACCAAAATTCAAACCCCGGCGTTGGGTGGGCCTGAAATGTGTGTTATGCCCCTACCCGTACCCGTTCCAAATTTGCAGTATGCCCCTACCGCATAGCCGTCGAGTACCGGCACCAAAATTTTCCATATGCCCCTATCGGTAGGGTACATGTTTTCAGCGCACCTCTATGGCTACGCGCATGACGGCCACTTCATTTCTCTTCATTTCTCTCTCTCTCTCTCTCTCTCTCTCTCTCTCTCTCTCTCTCTCTCTCTCTCTCACACACACACACACACACATTCATTTCTCTTCATTTCTCTCTCTCTCTCTCTCTCTCACTCACTCACACACACACACACACACACACACACACACGCGCTCTCTCTCTCTCTCTCTCTCTCTCTCTCTCTCTCTCTCTCTCTCTCACACACACACACACACACACACACACACGCACACAGTCGTTTTTTGGGGCAGCGACCACGTGCTTCAAATCCAAATTTCAGGCGCGAGGGCATGATGGAAAGATGTATGCCGCTCATGAGGGCATATCGCACAGGGACCGGTGAAATGAGACTGGCCGTCCAGCAAGGGCACCGTGGAAAGTTGCGCCCCTCGCTGACAGCGGCATGCAGGAAAGTTCAGAGGCCCCAGGGGCACGACAGGGCAAGTGGGCCGTCGGAGGGGCGTGCCGCGAAATAATGGAAATTACAGGGGCGCCAGACAAATTTTCCCTAAATAAAAACATGTTTTCGAAAGGAGAAAAAAACGAAGTCGGCCTCCGATCCCGATGACGACTTGTTACACCAGCGCTCGAGAAAAGACAAACTGGTTCGTGAAGATTTGTTGCCTTTTCAAATCCCTGATAGACATTCCTGTCAACACCAATTCGCCGCGAGCATCACAACCCAGAAACGAAAGAACTGACCAATTCTCTCTCTCTCTCTCTCTCTCTCTCTCTCTCGCTCGCTCTCGCTGTGTGTGTGTGTGTGTGCGCGCACATCACGCAGCGTGATCCAAATTTCAACAAACTCATCGACGGCACAAAGATCTCGTACAGAAAGAAGGTCAGCCCCGCCCTGCTTCCAACCCAGCACAAGTCCGGCCCAGACGATCAGCTTTCTCGCTAACTGCCAGAGAGGGCAGCTGGCTCTGTCTGATGCGCGGCTACCAAGTATACAAACGCTGGAAGATTGATTGAAAGAGAAGCAACATACGGGACACCGTGACAATCCCAATTCACCAATCAGTCCACACTCATTACCCAAATGTCAACCAATCCATAAAGGTAATCCACCCATCACAACGAATCCAATCGATTATCGCAATCCCCCCATCAGTCAACGAGTCCAATCGATTGACGGCAATCCACCTCCGAGGGCTATGCACCTCATCAATTACAACAATTTGATTCGATGATGGCAAAATCTACCTCCGAAGGCTAAACATCCAATCAATCACAGCAAGTTAGCCAATCAGTCGAACTGACCTACGTCCTACTCTTGTGAAAAGCCAATCGACTTTCCTTGAATGAACAACAAGATTAGGCATGGAACTCCGAGATTAGGAATTCAGGACAGGAGAGCAATCAGCGCGGGAGACACAGAGGATTACGGCTGATAACTACGACAGAGCTAACGCTCCACTCAATCAAGGCCATTACAATAACTTGGAAGTGTGTGACATCAGCATCTTTCGCGCCTCTTCCGACAAGTTTCATAATTCTTTTTCTTTTCCCCTCAACTTCATGATTCTTATTTTTCTCTCATAACCCAGTGTGCGTGAAGAAGTGATCACATCCGCTCTCCAGATCCCATCAGTGCGCCGCCCCCGCAGAGGAAATACCCGCCGCCGTCGGCTTTCCATGGAGGAGAGAAACTCCCTCCAGAGGTAGGGTTCAGAAGGATAGACATCGTCGAAGTACAGCTAAGTAGAGCAGTCAGGACAGACAGGGGAGGAGAAGAGAACGAACGTCCCCGCCCAATCGAGGAGATGGTGAGAAAACCCAGGCAGCAAACAGAGAAACACAGAATATCCCGCCAGAAACGAGGACGACGTCCAGGCAACCGGAGAAGTAGAGAACCTCCCTCCAACGGAGGAAAGAATCTCCCGCCAAATGGAGGAGAAAATTTGCCGCCAAAGGGAGGAAAGGATCCCCTGCCAAACGGAGGAAAGAGTCTCCTGCCAAATGGAGGAGAGATTCTCCCGCCAACATGTGTCACCACAGACACCTCCCACGTTTAAGGAGTGACGCAGCGCATGCATGAATCCTCCTCTCACAAAGTGTTTCCTGAATACCAGCAGGAGGAGACGAGAGGGCCTTGGGCTCTCTCTCAACGGCCACTTGGAAAGGAAAAGATATCGCGAACCAGATAAAATCACAGTAAACAAATCGTACAGTTGATGTCCCTCTCCTCATAATCTCTCCTTCCCTTTTCCACAAAACACAGCGCCAGGAGCACAAACAGAGAGACGACATACAATGAAATCAAGCAAAGGGGATATTCCTTCACACTTCAAACAGCCACCCATCCAAACGTATGGCACGATATACGGGACGTCGTCGACACTTACAATCCCTACACAATGTAGATGACCGACTTCTCTCTTTCTCCCCAAACCGACACGTAGCCGCCACAACTCAAGTCACCGCGCACACCAAACCCCACCATTGTCCCAATTACTGACAAGGTACCCTGCTTCTTATCTACATGTCTTGGCATTCAATCTCCTTCCACCGTAATTAGTCTTCACTAGTTCGTTCGCAACATCCTGCGAAAATCACTTCCCCGTTGCCCCCGTCCCACTGTTCGCCGTCAACACACACAGAGAGAGAGCGGAATTCCTGTCGCGTTCACCTTCCCCCTTTCCTTCGTCCCTCTCCCCCTTCACTTCCTTTTGGCCCCCTTCCCCCTTGCCTTCCCCGCCGGGGCTTAATCAAAGGGATCGGAGCGAAAAAAACATTACCTGCACCATAAGCCGGCTCAAACATCTCGTACGAACAGTTTCTGGATGAGAACAGACTTAGCACTCAGGATGTCAAAACATCATCATATATACCTATTGCCGGCTAGAATGCCTGCCGTACCGCTGGTCCACTCTCAACTCCTGCTTCCCCGCGTCTCGCCACCCCCCAACTCCTCCCCTTCGCCCCGCTGCAGCCCAGCTCCCTCTCCACTCGCATCGCTGCCACCACGCTCCCAACTCCCACTCCACACGCCCCACCGCCGCAACTCCTAATGCTCCCCACCCCCCGCCGCTGCCCTCCCGCTCCCCTTGCCCCGCAGCCGCCCACTCCCTCCATCCCTCGACGGCTAACTCAGAACAACACATACCTCCAATTCGTCATACGAACAAAATAGCAAGTCAAGGATAGCTACCGCTCCCCACGCGTCTACCGTGAAAACATGTGTTCAACAAACAAGAAGCAACTGGTAGGATATCCTAATCTCCTACTCTCTCCTAACCAACACGGCAAAAGCAGTCAGATCACCATGTGCGCATAAGGACCACCGGGGGCATCTTTCACAGAAAAGTAAGGCGGAACAGCTCCCTCGCCCCCGCAATCCACTGTAATGAGATAGCCATTCCACATACTACTACAGTAAATACTGTAACAAAAACAACAGAAACCGCGCCCAACGCAGCACATTCGTTCAAATCCTCCATCCATAAGATCCAAGGCCCGATATGTGACAAACCCCATCGCAAATCATCCCAGTGACAACTTCAGAGGAATACGTGCATATCACGGGGATTCGCGTGGGCTTGAAAACCACAACCATTTTATCGATCCCAGTCGTGACATCAAGGGGCTTCAAAGCTCAACTTGCCCATGACAAGCATGACGATGATGATGACAATAACCATGACGATGACAATGATGACAACGAGCCCGACACGTGGGTAAAGAAAGATAAACTCCTGGCGATGGCGGAGCTGATGACGTGACCAGGTGACGATGATGACGATGAGCCCAACAAGGGATAAGGAAAGATGGAGCTCCTGACGATGGCGGAGCTGATGACGTGAACAAATGCAGCTGCTGACCAAGGCGGAGCTGATGACAAAAACGACGAATGAACACGGAGCGAAGCACCAGCGATCCGCCTTGTCGAAAAACGACAGGGAAGCCCTTCTTCTCCATCGACTGATGTTAAAAAGAATGAATACCGTACTTCGGATACACGGGACGTTCACCACGCTGGCGTAGTACTCAAACTCTCCTGTCTTTTCCCTCCTTTCAGATAAGGAAGGGACAATCCCCTTTCTTCCCTGAAAGGCGAAACCAACGTTACGCCGCTAGAAACAAAGAGGACAGGAAAAAGCCCTTACAAATGGAGCGGCGCAGGGAAGCCGCGACAGCAGCAGCTCGAAGACAACAAAGGAGGAGACACGAGAGTGACAAACAAACACTCAGCAGGCAGCAGATGTCCAAATCATCAGCGAGCAAATCAGAAAAGTCGCAGAAAGAAATGGGCTTGGAAACTACAAATGAATTAACATCAACGCGAATATCAATAGACACAGCCAAAAGAAAAGCAACAAAACACTAGAAAACGACGAGCAACGCAACAGTATTCATCCACTGCCGAAAGCAACGAAGACGCACCCTCTCTCCCACCCGCCACTCTCCCGCTCCTTTCGCAGCCCTACACGTTGATTTTCATCCAAATCAGAAAACCACCAACCCTCCCTGCCCTATCGACCCAAGATTCTGTACGCTGATCAAGCAATCTAAACATCAATTAATCTAATCTAACAAATCTTGGACAGGCCAATCTAGAAACCAATCAATCAATATGTTCATCTATCAACCTTGCCTGTCGATCAAAGCATATCAATCAATCAATGGATCTACTAATCACCCGTTTCTCTCAATCTTCTCACGAATCAACAGAACGAGTGCGTTGACTAGAACACTTGGTGAGCTTTTCCATAGTACCTGTTGATGTAGGACGCCTTGAAATTCTCCACATTTGGCGTACCTTCAGATGGCTTAGGGTAAAACTTGTAGAACCTCATTTTTTCCAATGATTCCCTCATTTCGGGCGTCATATCTGCAATGGCCTTCTTCCTTGCCTCCTTGGCTTCTTTCGCCTTTCGCTTGGCCGCGTTGACTTCATTGCGGACGAAAGTAGCGAACTCTTTTCTGTACTTGTCGTCCAACGCTCCGTCGTCGATCTTGTCCTGCACGAACTCCTCCATTTCGTCGAACTCCCAATCGAAGTCGCAGATTATAGGTGGGACAGCGCCTCCATCGACCTCAAACAGGATGGACACAACCGTGTCAACTTCCACCTCCTCCTCTTTCATCGGCTGATAAATGTATGGCAAGCAGTACTCGTACTTCTTGATCCGCTCCTTCTTCAGCTGTTTCAAAGCAGCTCTCCTCTGGGTGCACTTGAGGGTAAAGATTTGCGTCTTCACGCGCTCGATGGGCTTGAACTCGTCCTCCTCCGGCACGTACGGCACCCATCCCATCTTCATTTCCTTCATGGGCACGACCATCTCCTCCTCCATCTGAATGGACTTTATGCCGATTTTATCCGACGGCGGGAACGGAGAAGTGACGGCCACCACCGCGGGAATGTGAATGACTCGAGACTTGTCCTTATAATGCACGAGTTGAGGCTCCGTGCAGCCGAACAGATACACCTTTTGCCCATGAAGAGCTCCTCCCTCGTCGAAAGCTTCTTCCAAATGCGAGAAGTCCCAGTCATACTGGAACACTGAATCGTATTGATCCCACTCCGTGCCAACCATATACGTCTCCTTCCATAAACTGTCCATATCGTCCGTCAGACACAGAGATGCAAAACGCCAACGGCAGAAAGAAGAAGCACCTCCTCCAGAATCGCACCAACCGCCAGTATAAGCAGCACAAAACTCGCCGACCGAACCCGAAATAGACCAAGCCACCAACGCACACACACACACACAAATACAGAGAAAAAGCGGAAGAGAGATGATACGAATGAGACAGATGGTGTGAATGTGAAAGCAGAACCAAAGCTAATAGCAGCTCACGAGGGATTTTCAACTTTCATTAAACTTCAATAATCAGGTAACAACAGCACCACAAAAGGTTCCGCGTCGCTCCCCGATATCTCTCTTACACGCGGAAGCACGAACAACGGACGCACGAAACGCAAAGTCACAGAGTAGCAGCTACCCCGGACGTGCCGACTTGGTAAGTTCGAACGGAATGCGAAGGTGAAAGGTGGAGCGATGAAAAGGCAAACGAGCGGCTGAGTGGATAAGTAAATGACCGTTACGCTAGCGTCACTTACGCTCCGTTGCAAACCAGGAGTGACATATGTGGGAGGGGAACAACGATGTCTACATCTGCTGGCGGCAGCCTGCAACGTGCGCAGCGGGCGCGGCGAGAGCGGGTGGCGGGCAGGTAAGTTTTCTGGAGCCGCGATTGGGCAGGCATACTACAGCCTGCCGTTTTCCGAGCGAACCCCCCTTGCAACTCTCACAGTCTCGCTAAGCACGAAAGGAAAAACACCCCAGGGAAAGAGGGGAAAGTGTTCAACGGGGTTGCTAAGGGGGTAAACCGCCGCAAGGGTATCAGTCAGTGACCGTTACGGTTTTTTATGAATGAATTGAAAGAGCAAGAAACTAACCTTCCTTTCCTTGCGCGCACCCTCCGCGTTCGCGACCTCCGCGTTCGCGAGTTATGGGTCGCTCTGCTTGATTCACCACTGGCTTTCATGGGCTGCTCTGCTTGATTCCCCTCTCCTCCCCCTTCCATCTCTCCGTTTCATGCACAGCCTGGCTTTCCTCCAATAATCCCACTGCCCATGAGAATGTTTGCAGCCCATCAGGGGTGCGTTTTTCCCCCTTGAGACATTTCCCCCCCAAGACATTTTCGTCGTCCTTGGTTATACCGGTCGTTGATTCGGGCTCGTTTGGTCGTTGGAAGGTTCGAAAAATGCACGCAGGTGCAGGCACGAAACTTTGGGGGGGGGGTGGCAATTTCTTAGAAAAATGCGGGACCGGTAGCTGCCCGTGGGACCGCGCGTTGGGTTTTGGTCTAAACGGTGGCAAAGTAGCGGCAGGGTGGATCTTTGGGGGGGGGTGGCAGTGTCTTTGAAAAATGTGGGACCGGTAGCTGCCCGTGGGACCGCGCACTGGGTTTTGGTCGAAACGGTGGCAAAGCAGCGGCAGGGTGGATCTTTCGGGGGTGGTGGCAGTTTCTTTTAAAAATGTGAAACCAGTAGTTGCCCGTGGGACTGCGCATTGGGTTTTGGTCGAAACGATGGCAAAGCAACGCCAGGGTGGAAAAGTGGAAAAGTCTTAATCGGAAAGGGTGCGACCTTGGCCGCAGGTTGAAACGACACACCTGCATTGCATTTACAAGTGCGAACAGATCTGTTTGAACATGGACGTATTCAACGCCCCACACGTTCAGCGCCCAATTGAGTGAGTCACATATGACAAACACAACTTTTATTTAATAAAAGAAAAAACTTACAACAACAAACACTCAAGCACACACATATACGAGATATGGACCAAGCTTCAAGGACCACCAGCCTCGACACCAACTATAAATCAAGGTTTATCAAATATCTAATACATTAATACCATATAAATTACCTAAATCCCACATATTCCAACATTAACAGATGTGATAAACACAAACACCCTAAGTAACACACAAACATACACACACACACACACACACACACACACTAATTTTGACACATATACACAAATACGCCTTTTTTTTAATGCAACAATCACCCTACTTTTAAACCTCACCAATAACGTCTCCTTTATCAATCAAGCATATACAAACTACCGGTTGCACACTCGTGCCCTCACGTTAAGTCAATCATTTTGCCCATCACTTCTCGTTGGGCAGTTCGCAGCCGGTCAGGGGTGTGTTTCCCCCCCTGGAGACATTTTTCCCCCGATACATTTTCGTCGTCCTTCGTTATATCGGTCGTTGATTCGGGCTCGTTTGGTCGTTGGAAGGTTTGAAAAATGCAGGTTTGTGCAGGCACGACACTCTAAGGGGTGGTGGTAGTTTTTTTGAAAAATGCGGGATTAAGTGAGTCACATGTGACAAACACAACTTTTTATTTAATAAAAAAAACTTACAACAAGAAACACTCAAACACACACATATACGACATATGGACCAAGATTCAAGTAAGTAAGATGAAGATGTTCGATGCAGCAAGTTGTAACGAGTTTAGTCCATAGCTAATGAACTCAGCATTCGAGCACTCAACACAACAAATGCTCTTGATAGAAAAAACTCATTCGTCAACTCAAAACGAACGATAATTCGGTGACCCTCATCACCACCATCATCCGAGTGACCTCCCTCAGCTGGTTGTGATGTTCGCTCAAAGTAAGATGAAGATGTTCGATGCAGCAAACTGCAACGAGTTTAGTCCATAGCTAATGAACTCAGCATTCGAGCACTCAACACAACAAATGCTCTTGATAGAAAAAAATCATTCGTCAACTGAAAACGAACGATGATTCAGCGACCCTCATCACCACCATCATCTAAGTGACCTCCCTCAGCTGGTTGTGATGTTCGCTCAAAGTAAGATGAAAATGTTCGATGCAACAAACTGCAATGAGTTTAGTCCACATTCGAGCACTCAACACAGCAAATGCTCTTGATAGAAAAAACGCATTCATCAACTCAAAACGAAGGACCACCAGCCTCGACTCCAACTATGAACCAATGTATGTCAAATATCTAATACATTAATACGATACAAATTACCTCAATCCCACACATTCCAAAACTAATAGATGTGATAAACACAAACACCCTAAGTATCACACAAACACACACACGTTACTCTTGACACATACACACAAATACTCCTTTTTTTTTTCATGCAACAATCACCGTACGTTTAAACCTCACCAATTAGGCCTCTATAAATCAAGCATATACAAACTACGGGTTGCGCACCCGTGCTCTCACGGTAAGTAAATAGTTCAGATTATGTCGAGATGAAGTGCATTGCCCACAGAGGGCATAAGTGTCAATAACTTGTACCTGGACAACAGTTTCCATCCTGATTGGAATGTACTGTACCGAGTTATGGGTGTTAAGGGGAGATGGGGGGGGTGGGAGGAGTTGGTGCCTTGTCTATCCTAGCACCTAATGGAAATGCCATTTGCCAGTATATGTAGTTTCGAATCATCAGAAAGGGGGGGCGGCAGGGGCATATACGAGGGATTGAAGCTTGACGGACTCATTCACCCTTGCACTGCTCATAAAGGTTCTCATGTCAGAGGGTAGGATTAAACTGATTGTCTACTGTGTGGGCGTGGGGAATGCAGCCCTAAGGTAGTCAAAGCAATGAGACTAAGCGTGAGAGAAAGAGAGAGAGTTAGAGAGAGAAAAAAAAACAGAGAGAGAAAGAGAGAGAGAGAGAGAGAGAGAGAGAGAGTAGAAACAGTTTGTCACAACCCCTCGTTTGTTGTCCTCTTCTCTCTCTCTGCCTACGGTTTACCGGACAGTTCTGTTTGTGACGATAGATATATATATATATATACAGGGTCACCAGCCCGTACATACGGAGGTCCCCGGGCAGACCCCCGTACGTACGGGCATTCGGGGTCCCATACGGGGTCCGAACCCGATGGCATTCGGCCCCCACCAAAACTTATTTCGGGACCCTGTAAATTTTCAAGTCATTTGGCCAAACCAAATAAGAATTAAAAATCGCTAAAGATGGCGGTGTCAAAACATGCTCGCCCACATATTTTTTCACTTTAGTTCGGGGTCTAAACAATTTTATTATTTTTTGAAACCTTTTTAGTGGGTTTTGTATTATGTGAAGTACACATCTGTAAATTTTCAGGGCATTTAGCTCTACCAAAAAACAATGAAAAATCCCCAAAGATGGCGGTGTCGAAAACATCCTCACGCACTCACTGAATTTAATTCTCTTTTTATTTTTATTTATTTTTATTATTAGTATTTGTTTTACGTATTTTATTTTTCTCCCAAATTTGGTAAGGATTTCGGATGTAATGCTCAGGCAAATCTTGTTAATTTACTTTTCTCCATAACATTTTTTTTTTTCAGATTTTTTTGATGACGTTTTTTTTTTTTTTTTTTTTTTTTTTTTGGGTACAGTGTAATCAGTGAGGGGATTCTGCAGACTGTTGAGGGTTCAACCCACTGATGAGTCGGTGAAACTTCGACGAAACAGTTTGTCACAGCCCATCATTTGTTGTCCTCTTCTCTCTCTCTGCCTACGGTTTACCGGGCAGTTCTGTTTATAACGATAGATATATATACTGTCTCTTATACACATCTAGATGTGTATAAGAGACAGGTGAAACTTCGACGAAACAGTTTGTCACAGCCCATCATTTGTTGTCCTCTTCTCTCTCTCTGCCTACGGTTTACCGGGCAGTTCTGTTTATAACGATATATATATATATATATATATATCGTCACATATATATATATATATATGGCCACCTTAGAGAGTGATCTCTAAAGAAAAACGTTGCCGTTTGCTGGAACAACTATATATATATATATATATATATATATATATATATATATATATATATATATATATATGGTAACCGACGTTCGGGATGGGCCAAACGTTCGAACCCGAACGCCCGAATGTGCGGGACCTTTTGGGGATGCGTTCGGTCGTTCGAGCCGAACGTGAATAAAAATAAAAATAAAATAAAAATAAAATAAAAATGAAATAAAAATAAAAATCTAAGAAACAATTATGTTATGAATGAGCATTACATCCAAATTCCTTACCAATTTTGAAATAAAAATAAAATGTAGAAAATACAAGTAATAATGAAGATAATAAAAATTAAAAAGAGAATTATAATTAGTGAGTGAGTGAGCACGTTTTCGACACCGCCATCTTTGGCAATTTTTTTTTTTTTTTGGCACAACCAAATGCCCTGAAAATTTACAGATGTGTACTTCACATAATACAAAAATCATTAAAAGAGTTTCAAAAAATAATAAAATTGTTTAGGCCCTGCAGTAAAGTGAAAACAAAAAGTACAAAGTGAAAAAAAAAAAATAGTGAGTGGGCGAGCACGTTTTGCCACCTCCATCTTGAACGATTTTTTTTTTTTTTTGGCTTAGCAAAATGATTTCAAAAGTTATAGGCATATACCTCTCATCATAGGAAAAAAAAAAAACATTTAGAAAAGCAATTTACTCTTAACTTTTAAGCCCCGAAATAATTTTCGGTGGGGGTTAAACGCCGTTGGGTTCAGACCCCGAACGCCCGTAC